ATACATTTAGCAAACAGTATGTCTACTGTTACTGTTAACTAGACAAAATTATTGAAATAATTGTCTGAATTATCACAATTCATTCATAATCAAACACTATTTACCAAATGAAATACATATGCTCTCAGTAGCTGGTCAGTACTCTGTTCAGTGATGCCTATGAGTCACCCTGGTCAGTTTTTGACTGAATTATTCTAATGCATATTCCCCATGTTTCAAATGTTATGACATCTAAGCAAGAGTATTTTGCATGAAGGCCTCCTTAACATCAACCAGAATGTAGAAAATAGAATTCCACTGAAATACATTATCATTACCATTTAATGAAATGGGCTTGATGAAATCCCTTTGTGGTCCACGTATGCTTCTCGGAATCATCAGCTTGTCTGAGGACACACAAATGGGAACACTTCACATCATGGTTTAATATGCCATTCTGTCAGATCAGGCTATAATTCAAAACCCTGATCCACACCTGATGGACAAACACCTGCATAAATTTCTAGCTCATTGAATTTATTAGAGATGTTCAGAAGCAACGCTGCAGCTGAAAGGCCCAAGATAAAATCAAACATAGATCAGTAAGGTTCAATTTTCAGCCAGAGGGCCAGACATGTAGCGCTTTGTTCTCTGCTTGCCAAATCTGGCACCGACCACCATTGGTATGGATTCAGGTTCACAGTCTCAAGTGGGCATTTGCATAGGCTCCACCTGAAACATTCATTTGACCCAACTCTGTAAAAATCTGATGTTTTAGGAAGACACTTCACGATACATATTCTCCTCTTCATAATTTTGTATTAGTAAAGGAATGCAAGGCTAAAGCAGATAGAGTATTCACAGAAGTGCAAGTCATAACAACGGCTTAGTGAGAGAGATTATTCTGGATGATGCCTCTGCATTTTGAACTTCCACTCACCTAAAAATTTACAAAGCCCAGGAGAGAAGACATTTGTTTCCTGACTGCTGCCTTTAAAGCAGTACTAGATACATTAGAGGGCGGCAATTCTGGTCACAAGTCGATAATGACCTATAGCTGACCTTGGGTGGCTTTCATAGGACAGTGAGTAGCTGAATAGGCAATCTCAGTCTAGAACTGGTTAAGTATACTGTGTGAGTCTCAGAAGCAGAAATGAATTAATAGATAGGAAGATGGTTAGTTTATAGACCTTCCAAAACAATTCTCACAATTGCTAAAATGGATTGCCTATTTTTTTTTCAAGTAATGGGATTCCAGATGCATAGATACCCACTCTGCTCCCTTTCATAGTGGTCTAATACCTTAAAAGAATGGCAGTCCTCTCAGAGGAGAGACAGAAAAAGAAGAAGGTCCCCCTGCTTTCCCAATGCCATGACTGTTTACAGATTTCATCTTTTCCCTTCCAAACTGAACTCAGAAGTCTCAGAGGCTGAAGACCACCAATGAATAAACTGAGTTGCCCATGTCTGTCAGACTGTCTGCACTCTGCTTTTCTCATGCTGACCCTATTAGATTTGACTATTAAAAAGCAGCATTGGGCCATGTCAGCTCTTGGGTGGGAGACTGCCAAGGCACACATCCATGTTGCTGGCGTTTGAAAGATTGATAATGATCCTGTGCAACACTTTTTTCCCTTTAAACCAGGCAGTTCTGCACGGGGGTCAGTTCTGTGGTGCTACATACCTGTCTTGTAGCATGAGGTGTAAAGCTAAAATCCTGATTGCCTGTGGCTGCTAAAAATCCCAAGGCACTATTTACAAATATGCAAGCAATTACAGCAGACTGGAAGTGGCCAAACTGGTAACTCTCTTCTGCCAACATAAATCCTCCCACTGTAACTGAATGTGGATTTTTTTTTCATCTCACAGCATAAACTTTAAAGTATTGCTGTAAAATGCTCATTAGCCATCAAATATCTTTATGGAGTAGCACTTGCTTTACAATAGAGGGTGAAAGGAAGTTTGTTCTATGGGTTCTGAGTCAGTGAGGATACTTTAGGATAAAAGCTCCAACACATCAGTTTGCTAGAGCAGAAAATTAATAGAGATAGATTGGTTTTTAGTGGCATTTGAAACTATCTGCCTCTTATCTACCAATAGTTCTTTTTCTCAGACTGCCTGCGCTGTTGTACTTTATTCTCCTACATGCTGCTACAAGATGACACCTCGAATTTTTAAGCTTTTCCTGTTAATTAAAAGATTTGTTCCTCCCAAAAGGCTGGGAAGAAACTGACATTTTCAGTTTTAAATCTGACTCATGTTGGCATAGCTTCCAGGTGCAGAGGTCCTGCCTCTACTTTGCTTTGAACTCAGCTCCCTATGAATTTCTCTGTGTGGGAGTTTGGACTAAGGAAAATTCCATACAGCAGAAACAGAACTGTCTAGATCCCATTAGAAAATCACTCCTAAACAAATTCCTAAAAGATTATATATAATGATATAACAATTCATGGTTTATCACTGCCTGATCTGCTCTACAATTTAAAGGGAAAATATATATATATTCCTTGGTATGACAGTTGGGTAAGAAAAGCTGCATCCCTTTGATCTGCACAACCTGCTACCACCTCAGCCCCTTTTACTTCTTCCTGCAGCAAGGAAAGACCAGTCAAATCACAATTTCATCCCAGAAGCATGAAATACTTGTGCTTACACCCAGCTTGAATCCATGATTTTAAGTTCATAGTGTGAAGTTGGTTTGTCCTGGTCCCTCACAATAAGACACTGGATGCTGGGCAGGAAATGAACTCTAAAGCAGAGATGCAGATTTGACAGAGCACTTTTGCTGAGCTCGGTGTCAGAGTTTTTTTAAACAAAGATGGAATTAAGCAGATACTTCTCTGAGAAGTGTCAGCTTCAGAGAAACCCTGGTAAGCAAAGGTCTTACAGAGTTTATCAGTACTTTGTGCTATCTAAAGTAGAAAGTTGTTTATAAGGTTTCCATGCATATGTTTGTTCCCACAGTTACATACTAATAAATTTTTCATCAACTTGAGGGAGAGAGATGAAAGAAACATCAAAAGGCTTACACAGTTAAAGAGCACACCATTGTCATCTACCTGGGTACTTTCATCACATTTTAATATTTTAGATCTTTCCTACAGGTCCCACTGAACTTTATCAAGCCAGGACTCTGATCTATACCCACAACTTCATTTTGCTTTACCTGAGATAGAAAAATGGATTTCTATCACTTGGCTTAGAGAAGTCAGTGCCATTCTTTTGTTTAGTTTGGCTTATAGAAATAATCGCATCTCTTTCAGAAAGAGGACAAAGAGTATTCAGCAAAAGGCACTTTGAAATTGTATTGCCTGGTTTTGAGTTCCTTTTCTGGGATCCTGATGCAGAAGCAAGCAAATTCAATAGCTTCTCAGTTTCAACAGTCTTTGGATCAGGTTTTAAAGGGTTATTCTTTACGCTCCTTTTAATACTGTGTCATACTCAGACTGCAGTGCCAAAAAGAAAGAAGTTTATGCCTTTGGCTTTGCATATAAAGTGGGATCTTAATTAGCATTCACTTTCAGCTTAATTCCAGTCACAGAAAGTTTTTATCATTAATAGGGGACCAAAAGGTAAGCCAAGGCATATCACTTCTCTAAATCTTATCCATACATCTCCCTGATGGAAGAACCAGTGCATACACTGCCATCAGTATGTGTAATTAGTGGCAGTGTGCAAAAGGAGGTATATCCTAACGAGATGCTGGAAAAATATGTGAACCAGTTATCCGTATATAGAAGTACATGAAAAAAAATACTAAAGAGTGGCATGGTTATATCCGGGTGCTTCTGCTATAGAAAGCATTTGTATTATCCTTACTTCTCTGAATAAATTCAAATGACAGCCCCATTTCATTTCTTCATTCAGTCTGGAGGCCAGATGGCATTAGAATCATTTACTTCACCTTGTTGTGCTTAATTACTACAATCAACACACTATTTTCCAAATTAATCATAACAAAGTAATTTCATTAGTAACACAGCAGGCTGTTGAATTATTAGCATCATAACAGTTTGCAAACAATTAAACTTTATTTGAACCTTAAAAATTTGCAGAGTAGAACATTATTATAAGATCTAATGGCAGGATCGTACAAATCCAGAACAGAACAAATAATCAAGTAAAAGGCTGTACAATATATGAGTTACAATCACCTTTTATAAAATTCACTGTCTCACTGCTCATGGAAAGGCAAGCGCAACCTGAGCGAACAAAGAAAATAATGCGATTAGCATTTTCTACCTCCGAGTTTAAGTTGTAATAACAGAGATTTTCTTATCCAGAAAAGGTTACATCATTTGCAGCGATTTAAAGTAAACCATTCATTCGAGTCGTTGTTCCAAGACATTTCCAGTGTGTTTCAGGACATCTTTTACGTTTTGAATGTTAAGGTAGTTTGCTTACTTCCCCTCCCCCCTTCCCCCAAGTACCAAGAAGGGGAAGCCCTAAAGCAGAACTACAGACAAAAGCCACTTGATTTCTTTGGTTGCCACCACCCAGGAGAGGCCGCTCTGGGCAGCCCTGCCCCTCATCGCTTGGGTAAGGACTCCCTCTCCTGGAAAAAAGGCAGAAGCGGCGCGGGGCAGCACGAAGGGGGAAGGGGACAGGGACGGGATCGGGATCGGGATCGGGATCAGCCTCCGCCTCCTCCCGTCCCACGAAAATTTGCTGCCACCCAGCGCCGCCGCCGCGCAGCGCAGGGACCGGGCCGGGGCCGCCCCCAGCTCGGCACCGCCACCCCCGCGCTGAACCGAGCCCCGGCCGTAGGCACTTGGTCTCAGGGAGATGCGGGGGAGGGAGGGAGGGAGGGACGGGGTTTATTCCTCCCCCCAAAAAAAGTAGGTGGTGATGGTGGAGGGATTTGGAATCACGCAATTAATAAAAAGCCATTCCGGTGGGCAGATTTATGGCGCTGCCATGTTAACAAGGGAGAAGGAGCGTTTCCAGCCCTGCTATTAACGCTTCACATTCTGTACACAATCCACCGGTACGCTTGACAAATTAAAGTAGTAAAAGATCTGAAGACTATAATCTATCATTTTAATGCTTTGCTGATAACGCACAGGATCCATTTCAATGACAATCTCTTTTTAAAAAATTAAAACAAAACTCCGTACCCTGTTTGACGTCTATTAGAATCCAGTGTACCAGCAAGGACCATACATTATCTAACACAAAGCACAACATCTTAGTTTACTGAAAGGATCCGAATTCCCAGTTCAGACTAACGTTACCTTTTAACCCACACTGTTCTCAGTGTCCGCCTCAAGCGAAAACAGCGCAAGCAAATACACAGGGACCTGCACAGGCTCAGCAACTCGAAGACTGGCCTGACCTGCCTCTTTGGCAGATTAAGGGTCTCACAAATCAACTGTGTGGGAAGGTTCAAAAAAGTGGATCTTGCATGCTAATGGCAAAGCACATCTCCAAAACAAGAGTATTTAAAGTATTAACTCTGACTTGCCCAAGCCCCTTGTCCATATGTGGTAGTTTTTTAGCGTACTTTTACGTTTCAACTGACGCTTTCAGCCATGAGGTTCTGGATTTGACAGCAAGACTGCAGGAACTAATCCATGTAGCACTGAAGATCTGTTGCACAACTTGTATCAGAATTCCAAGGTATCCAGATTTGACTCTGCAGAAGCATCTGTAAGGTAAAGATAAAATATTCCACTCTACCATGGACAAAAATATGTTTTACCTGCAGTTTAGCTCATGCTGACTTAGGAAAAATTGTGGGGTTTAATATATTTTCACAAATTTTCATAGAATTCCATCTTCAAGTCAGAAGGGTATCCACACAGGCCGAATTATTACATCAGCAAAAGAATCAAGCCTTCATTGTGTGTCAACAAAATAGTAATTAACAATACAATACTAAATGTATGAGAAAAATAAATCACTGCCTAAAACCTAACATAAAAAAAATTTGCAGACAGAGTACCCTAAAGACTTGCAATATTACACATAAATTTCCCTCAATTTTCCAGTGAAACTGCACAAGATGTACAGTGAGCATTAAAAGGTTAATGCATGCATGAACTGAGTAATAGTTTACCCTCAAAGTTCAGCTTAATTTTTCTAAATCTGAGGAACAGGAAAAGATAGCAGAATTCTCTGAAAGAACACAAACCTACAGCTATACATAAACTGCTAGCATGTTAAGGAGCAACAGGCACTATACGGCTGCTTCTGCCCCATATGTTAATTACCATCTATTTAATTTCCTATCATTACAATTCTATAAAAAGTGACTAAGAGGAACACTTCCTTAGAATTATGATCAATTACATTTATAATGTTTAATATACACAAGGCAACGATCTGACTACATTCACTGAAACCACAAAACGTGTACAGCAGAATCTTCCTTCAGAGGCTGGGCCTGTAAACTGCAGCTGCACACCACTCTTGATCTCAAGTGCACATTTCTTCTGATTAGGGAGAGGGAAGTTGAAAGTTCATCCTTAACCAAAAAACCTCAAACACGCATATCAAACCGAGTCCAAGTATCTATTCCCTTCCACAGTTTTCTGCACAGAGAGATACATATATATTACTAAAGGAACAAAACTAACTACAAACAGCACCAATTTTATTTTTAAAAAAATTGCTGAAGGAGCATAGTTCTTAAATATATCATCCTTTGTACACTGTGGTTTAATATTTCATACAGAATCCCAGAAAAAAAGTATTTTAATTGAACCTTCAATATATTTTGCCATAATCTTTATGTTAACAGGACTCCTACAAAGGTTCCAGGAAAGACATACTTATGAAACAGAGAACAAGGGAACATAGAAGCCATTACAGAAGATTGGATTAAAATGTACTTACCCAGGCCTCTCAAATATCATACATCTCCATTATGTAGGCTTTAGGCACCAAGCCAACGGTTCCCTTCATTTCTCCTACCCACCAGCCATATTCATCGTACTCCTAATTGAAAACAATATGCAGTATTAACCTTTAGTCTGATATAAATGCAATAGAGTTTTGTATGCAACTCCTTATGGATGCTTTGTCTTATATACAGCTATAACCATTTTAACTCAAAATTAAAACATTATATCTTTTTGTTATAGGCATTCACATGCAGAGTTAGGCAAAGGCAGAAGCTAAATTTTAAAAAGGCCAGGCGTACTCAGGAAAATTTCTTAATTATGGCTACTCTTTCTCTAACACCTACTAAAAATATCCTCTCTTCATCACAAATAAAAAAAACTTAACTTTGTAACTAAAATCTAATAGCACAACACTGACATAAGAATCAAGTAGAATTCTTTCAGCATGACAAGGCTAAACTCAAACTTACAATCAACTTATTTTAAAAACTACTTTGCTCAAACGTGAAGGGAACACCACATTCTAATACATAATCTTTCTATGGACAAAGTCTACTATTGCTTTAGGCTTACAGAAATTCTATGGCAGATCTCATATGCCTGACAGATGACTAATGTACTTTTGTTTGAAATTTGTTTAGGCTTAGTGAGATAAATATGAAACAAAATGAATTATAATAGTTTAAAGAAATAATATCTTCCAAAAGCAATACCAAGTAAGAGTATTGTGGTATCCAAATTTAATTTTTTCCTATGAGATAAATATTTTAAGATCAATCCTAACAGTGGTTCAATAAATTTTAACAGCTAAAATTGCACACACACATATATTGAGTTACAAATGAAGTAGTATTAAAACAGAGACCCCACTGAAAACTGAATGATTCGTAAGATAGAAATTACTTTGGAACAAACATGAAAAATACAGAATACACAGATATCTCTGATAAGCAGCGTCTGCTTCCCACTACACTGTTCTTGTGATGAGAAGATAAAAGGCTGTAGGATTTTGAATTACTGGTCCTACTGAGATAAAGCCATTATTGTGATTATTGTGTAGATAAAGTTTTTTGGTTATAAATAGTCAAGTGGAGCTTAAGGGTTAATGGAGTTTCATTAGAGCCTGAGCTATAATGATTTGCTGCTGGCATATTTTGCCTGGTCAAGAGTTCTCTGGGGTCCTATGAGGTGCTTAGTGTACTCAGCTCTCCCTGTGCTTTAACTACGATGAAGCCCTGCTGATGGCCCATCTTCACGTGAGCCCTGGCTTTGTTTTGCTTTTTGGTTTTGCCCTTTTTTTTAAAATGCTTGCATGCAGGCATACACACACTAATTGTGGATGGCTGAACACTAATCTTACATTAAACATTTTCCTCCTTCTCTTAACAGTGAATTGGTGATTTGAAAGATTCTATCCTGCTATCCATAAAATACTGCAGCAAGTGTGATTTAAAGGAAACTCACATAAAAAGCAGCAGGAAAACCTTTATTTGTGATGTGAACATGCAAATGAGAAAGCTTAAAAAATAATTCCACCCTTCCACTGCAGGTCAGTGCTGGGGATGGGTCTGGTCTTGAAAGTCTAGAGGTAGCTATCTGAATCTGATCTTCAGTGCACACTGCTCTCTACAGAAGTTAAGAACTGCTTATAACCCTTCCCATGGGGCTTCACATTACACCCCAAATCCTTAAAGGCAAAACAATACCCTGACACTGAGGTTTATAATGTTCCAGATCAGCCTGTTTAAAAAAATCTATGCTTTATCTCGCAGTACACTGTTTAAATATACAAACCGGATTTCAAGACTGCAGTGGGAAATTGCTGAAAGGAGCGGCACTCACGTATACTACTGGAATCTCAGAAATAAATCTCTCCAAGAGTAAGCAACAAAAGATTTTAAGCTGCTACATGGAATACACGAAGTGACTGACAAGAGTGATTAAGCAAGTTTTGCTAGACATCAGCCAAAAAAACAAACAATACATGAAATGAGGGAAGTGGCTCAGTTAAGCGATCATTAAACTGCATATGACAAATGGCACAGAAAAAGCCTGTGGATTACATTACCCATTGAAAATGTTCCACTACATGAACTTAGAAACAATTGTTTTTAAAGAAACAATTCAGATACCTCAAATTAAAATTAAAAGCATGCTGCTGTTTTGAAAACTTTCTGGTTTTCGCTACTTACTAATACACCACTTACTGCTCTGGCATGAAGCTAAGTGAGAAGATGAAATGAATGTTGATGTAACAGACTAGTAAACTAATTTAAGGATTCACTGCAACCATTATACCATACAGACAATATTGCAATACAGAAGCTTTTACTTTACATTACTATTCTTCGCATGGGTCTCAAGAGCAACATGAATCCCAATTAAACTATCTGCTGTCTATACAAGTCTGAAAAATACAATGGAGATACCTGGCTACCAAGAACATAAAACTTTAATCTCAGTTTTAGAATAATTAGATAGCACTCCCTTTTAAACTGATTAAAGTACAGACATTTCTCTTTAAACTCCTAACCACTCCTTCCTGTCCTCAGTACCACAAGAGTGCTTAACTAGTGAGGCAGACAAGCAGCCCCCTAGTCCTTTCTTGAAGTCACACATAAAATCCAAACTGATGTATTGTTTCTATCAATGTTATCAATTATAAACTCCCTCACAGCAATATAATCTAATTAATACACTGCTGTTGTGAGGTCCATATGTCTATTATTGCTGGTTAAGATGTGTAGAATAAAAGTCTACAGTCTACATTTGTGGGAAATAATGATTAATATGCAGAAGCACTAATATGCAGAAGTTAGGAGTTTTATAAGAATGAAAGTTGGGAAGCACGGTGCTTTTGCAAGCATCAGCTTCAGATCTCAGGTACCACTGGGTTTACCATCTGGTATCCCTCACTGCATTCAGCTCTTAACTGCTAACATAGGCAAGCAACTATACTTCAGAAGGACTGATAAAATAATGAAGAGTCCTTTAATCTACAGGAAACCATTGTAGTCAATTTATAAGAAATATTGCATCCCTTTGTAGGATGTGTAATTATTTTCTATTAATCATGTGCTATAAAGCTACATTATGTGGTTATTCTGTTATCACTAGAAAGAGGCCTGCAGTCAGCTCCTGACAATGTTAGGTAATTACTAACACAAAGCTTCTTTCTCCTTATGTAGAAACGCTATCAAGATCCAGAGGTGCTGTGATGCTCGCTGTATGAAAATAACTCTCCAAAGAAATTCAATAACTGCAAAATGAATTGCTCCAAGGCAAACAGAGGGATAGGAGAGGGGGGCAGGGCCAGATCCAGCCGCCCTGCAATGAGGAGAATGCACAAGTGTGCGGCCACGCTCTGCCATGTGACCGGGAGCACATTTGCCATACCAGGCAATGTTAGCAGGGCTGGGGGGAGGAGGGGGCCACCACAATCCCTGGAAGACAAGCACCAGGGCAATGGAATATATTGTGCCCAATAATATGAAACAACAACCTTACCAAATGACCAAATGCTTTCTAAGCTACTTCTGCAATTCCACTGTCATAGAGTGGCTTATTTTTTTCCCTCGCAGAAATTTATTAACCAAAGTGAAGTAATTTCTCAGGGCAGCAAGGAACAGGTTATGACTTAACATGCTGGCAAAACATTCTCTGTACAGCATGCTTTGATAGCAGGGGGGGAAAAATCCCATCAGGGTTTACAGTTCCCTTAAATGCTTTCAAGTGAACAGTGTGAGCAGGCACTTCTCCTTGTCCTCATCCCACCAATTTCACTGCACTGATGTGTATGTACCCATGACTCCAACAGAAATTGCTCATAAAAGCTTTTGCACTGGGGAAGACAAAATAGTTAGAAACACACTGTTTTCTACAGATATCTTTTAAATTCAAGATTTTAGTCCTCTATAGAATACAATTCTGGCATGCAAAAAGAGAAAATTTCCAATACAGTCTCTACCTTTAGAACAGATCCTCTGCCTAAATTACGTTCTCCAGATGCTTTGCACCATATTAACTTCTACTGACTTCAGCAAAAGTTGAGAACATCTGGTTCTTGTAAAATTAGTCCCCATTGTTAAATACATATGGTACGGTTTTTCATGTTTGTGAAATGGTTTTTTTAATTTATTTTGTTTTTTGAGAAGAGCTGCTGAAAATCATCATTGTGTTTCAATGCCTAGAAGAAAACAATGCAGTGGTATTTAAAAAAAAAAAAACACACAACTGAAGTGGGTGAATTCAACATTTTTCTCCTTCCCTCTTCCAGTGGAGTTGTGAGTAATATTCACTGAATACCTGCAAACCTTAAAACTCAAAAGCAAAAGATATCTATAGCCTTCTTTGGGGTTAAAATAAGTAGCCTTTACTATCAAGCTAAATATGTGTGGGAAGCAGAGATAAATTTCAAAGAATATCCTGGGGGGCAATTTTGGCAAGAAAATATTTTAAAACATCTTTAATTCATCCAGGAGATTCACACTAGCTAAAAAGTTTTAGAACTTCCTTTGGTGTAATTGTTGAATGATACACTATCAACCAGGGAGCAGTTTTGGCACAGAACAGCATTTTCTCTAAAAAGCAGAGAATGACAAATGCTTTAGATAAGTGAATGAGACTTCTTCACAGGTAGTAGAGTTGTTTTAAGACAGCAATAAAATGGTCATCTTTAAAAATATAAGCCTCAGATTTATTGTATGGTTGCATTATTAAGTTTTATTTCCCACAATAACATGAGACAAAATAGACACCAATTAAAGATTTCCAATATAAATCATGGTAAGCAGACTGAATTCTGAACCAAAAGTGTCCCCAGAAAACACCTTGGAACAATAAAAAGGCCATTTTACTTTCCATTAGATGACCCAAGGCCAAATTTTTTACTAATAAGGTAGGTAAAGGCTTACATATTATCAGTATGCAATCCAGCAGACCTGGAGCCACTTCACATTAGTCTTAACTAACCTTCTATCTAAAGGCCTTCAGTTTTATCTTGTGTTTAGACATGCATTTATTCACCTCTCCTCCCATGAGGAATATACCTAAACAAGCCAGAGAAAGGGTAATACAAAACTTCAGTGTAGCATTTGAGTTTTGATCAGAAGCATCCCACTCAAGTGAATCTCCCAATGCTCCCACTTTCCCCACATTGGCTAACTCTGCAGGGCACACACACTACATTTATTTGAGACTAAAATGGAAGATACAATTGAATGTACTCTAACCACTAATTTGTTCTCATTCCACAAAACCAAGCTAGACCTCTTCAGACATCAAGAAGCTTTCAGAAAGCATTTTGTGGACACCAGGGCCTCAAGCACTAAGTGTTTCACTCTGCAAATCTGCTCCTATTGGTATTCCCTGTTTGCTAGGGAAGTCACAGGCAGTATGGTCATGGAAACAGAAATTACCCTTAAATACAGATCTCAGTATGCTCAGCCAGAAAACAGCCTGAGTAATGAAACACTCAGGATTTTAGTATGCCTTTGATATCTTTTTGAAAAAATACTGAATAAACACATTTTATTAAGCTTATACAGATAGTGTACAAAATGCTCACAGTGATTCTGAAACAGCTGCATTATTAAGTTGCACTTTTATTTCATAAGCAGTAACCTGAGCTATGGAGATTCTTTGTTTGTCTTTTCAATAAGTAAAAAATACAGGTTGAGATGTGAGCATTTTAACAGAAATTTATTGCATTGAAAGAACAAAAATCTGCCATGCTGGAAACCTACAATCACTGAATAAAAGGTAATCTAAACACCAAATTAATGCTCTACTTTCATAAAAAATTCTAGAGCAAAAGGTTAAGTCACAGATGAGATTTCCATGACTCATAAATATCAGAGTGAACAGTGTTGGCATGTAATGAAATAATAACAGGTAAGGAGAATTCCAGTTAGAGATATAATTTCTGATTTTAACATTATTTGCTATTTTAATAAAAATATAAATAAGATGGATATTAAATTAGCTTTAAAATAAAGAAATGTCTGTAATTTTACTAAGCAGGTGCCTGCTAACATATAGGTAAATTTTCATTATTACTTGCTTTTGGCCAATGAAATTATGGAATTTCACAACACAAAACATACACCTAAAGCAAACAAACCCTTACTGCTAGTGTTGCACTTGCATAAATTGTGCATATGAAATTTAGGAAAAAGATTAGAGCTACCTTCATTCACAGTTATCTTTGTTTCTGGAAATTGATTTCTTGAGTAGACCTATGGAAGATTTATAAAAATGATTGCTATATCATGGTCTGTTTTCCCATTTATCACATGGGCTTGAAAGCAAAAGCAAGCCCATAATTGAGCAGGAGTTAAGAACAATTATCCTTTCAGCAAACAGGACTCCCAAGTGTTACATTTCTAATAGTCAATATTAACTAAAAAATGATATTAAAGAGTCCCTTTATCATTAGAACTATAAAATATTTTTTTACTCTGTAATGGAATAGAGGTATATAGTTTTCTGAAAGTTCACATCATTCATAGCCTAAGTCATAAAAGACACTTGAATATTCAAGGTACTATAAATTAATAATAATAATATTATATCTGTACATATACATTGATCAATTAATCTGAAAAGTTAACTACTTTTTTAAATAAAGAAAAGTTAACCAGTAGTTAACTGAGAATAGTCCTGTTAATTCTGCTCAGATTAAAAACTCAACTTTTGAGAGAAACTCTCAAAGGTAGGAAAACTTAGACAAAAGTTGGGAGTGGTTTTATTGGGGTTTTTGTTGGCTTGGGGGTTTTTCTTGTAAAAAAAAAGGTAGTTTTTGAATGCACCTTTAAAACAAGAAAAACATGCTTTTCTACAGTAATTACACTAATCGGGCACAGGTATCTCTGTTGTCAGAGTATGAGCTCATGCTCATTGAACTAACATTGAATTTTGATGCTCAGTTTAAAGCAAATTATGGGGGACTTATCTTTGCAGAATGCTTAGCTATTTTAAGAAGTAAACACTGCCAAATTGAAACCATGCTCATTTTTCTAAAAGGCATTCACCTAGAAACTTACATGTAGCATACTGCTCCACTTGCTTTATTTAAACTCTATAAATGCCAAAATTTGCTAAACCGATTCATAATTATTTCTGTTGTACTAATGATCTCTCTTCTTGGAAACAAAATCGTCACTTTTACCCTAATTTCTATAAAGGTATGTGAAAAGCTGGTAAAAATATATTGCTTTGGCATAACTATTTCTGGGAGAGATGAATATCTATCTTATCACATTCATCAGAGCATTTACATTTCACTGTAAAACAAAGAACTATTACATGTTGCACAAATATGCTTGATATTTTGCTAATGCTTCACCCCTCCTACTATAACACTACTATACCTATACTTACTTCCTTACCAGCAAAATGTGATTTTCAAGAGCAATGTTCACACGTGGCTGACATATGATAGAAAGGCAATAAAGCCATAGCTAGGTTCAGCTGAAGCTGAATTTATGACACCATTTTGGATCCATACACATAACCCTCTGTCAGTACCTGCATCTCTTATTTTCAACCACTAGATGGTGTGAAAAAATAAAAAAATTGCCTAGAATGCCTGCCGACTGCCACAAAATTCAAGTATTAATGTAGTGGATTAAGAAATATTTTAAAAGAAAAGTCTTGACCCGCTTCAGGGTGGCTGGGCTCACTTTTCCTTTGGTTATATTTTCACTTACCAAACAAAGAGCTCATAAATGACCAGACCTTGAAACTGAATCAAGTGGAAGGTTAAGATGGATAATTCTCTGGCACTTTGCCCTCCGAGGACCCTAAATTCCGAGCTGACAGTAGTGGCCAACACTCATTTTTCCGAAAAAGCTGTAACAATCTTTAAGCGAAACAGGGCCAAATTTTCTGGGCTATATTTTGGAGTGGAAATCAATCCAGAGAGAGAAAATCTATATATCTGGAGCAGTAGCAAGCCTGTTTCAAGGACCGATTACGGATTTATCACGGCATGGCAACAAGTCAGTTGATATACACACGACAGCTTAAACTACTGTTTTTTTTATTCTGCTCCATTTTTTAAATTAAATTCCTCACTTTTTTGGGGAAGGAGTAGCAAACAATTTTTTTCACCTACAAGATGAAGATTAAGATTTTATAGTCCCCATACTGTACCCAGAGAGCACAACCCACAAAGAGGCCAAACCCATGCAGCGGAATCCATTTCGCTCATGGGCTTTTTGAGGGGAGGAAGAGAGGTAAGAGGTGGTTGTTTTAAATTAGAACAATTCTTTAGTGCTGAATAACTGATGGAAAGTTTGCCAACCCAAGAGCGCTATTCAGCCTTTAGTAATGCAATTCAGTTATTAGCTTAAGTGATGATGAAATACCTCAAAAGACATACATGGTCAAACTACTATTAGTAATATATCTTCTATATTCTTATATAGGACTATCCTTCTATCCATAAATCTTAAATTTATTTAAAACAGAAGCTGTTACATTTATTATCGAGAAACATACTTAAAGGTATCACAGAAGATTTAAAGCAATTGTGACAAAACTTAAGAGTTTGAAACTAAGACAAATAAAGTCTTTAGCTTTCATGCACCTACTTGTGTATTTCAATGGCCTACATATTTCTGGCACTAATTACCCTGAATGGCAATTAGATCTATATTCTACACATGTTTTTAAAGGTAGATTTTTTCAATGAGAACTTTAAAAGCTCAGGGTTTTTTCTTATACGTGGGGAACATAAATTTCCTTTGATTTATTTTTCAGAAGTAGACTTCAATGGACCATGAAATATATATTTTAGAAGAGGTTTTGGTTTTGTTAGAGAGGTTAAGGAAAAACAAGCAAATTAACCAACATTAATGTAGAATAAAATTTCATGCTTATACTTCATGCTTGTATTTCATGCTTAGCGTCAATTCAGATTAAAGGAATTATATTTCTCATTTGCTTTGCAAATAGGAAAGTTTGCAATTAAAAATTGCCCAAATCTGTCAGAGCAAACAAATTTGGAATCTGAGCTGTCAGAACAATTACAGTATACATACAAAGATGAAAGCATAGTTCAAAAAAGCACATCTTCTGCAGCAAGATCCCAAAAAAGTCAGAATTAGCACAGTCAGGAATATAAAACAGGAAACAAAAAGCATAACATACAAGATAACTTAGAATTCTACAAGGTTAACTTCTGCAAGCAGAAAGCACATTGTCTCCTGTTAAATCAGTTAACAAATGGTAGCCAAGATTTAACAAGTAAATAAACATGCTTTTAAGTTAATTCCTGTTACACAGCTATGTTTTAAATGTGGTTATAGTTCATTTGACAAAATAATTAATTGCAATGAATATCTGATTGCAAACAAAGGATCTGAAAGGGAGTGCCAGTTTCCCCCCATAGAACTGTGGGAATGTGTCCTTCTGCCATGGCTCTCTTTTTACAATTACATAGTCCCAGCAGTACCTCATACCTTGCTGAGAATGTAGATAACGTCACCCCGTTTAAATGTCAGCTCATCAGGTACATCTCCTGTGCAGTCCCACAAACCTAGATAGAAATTGGCATAATCGATGTTTTCGCTATCTGCAAAGAAAACAGCATCTAATTAGAAAAGGATAAAGACTGTGGGACTAAAGTTACACTTTAAATCTCCAGATAGTACAATGCAATTTATTAGCACACATTTCTTACTTCTTTTTTTTTTAGAAACATCTCCTCCATACCACAAAAGCAAGTAGAAAACAAGTTTAATGTGCAAGCCCTTCACTGGCAAGTTGCATCACTGAGAAACATGTAGCTACAGGTTTTCAAAGCATTTCCCAGCTGCAACTTAATGCACCTAGTTTTCCTCTACTAGTACATTTCTAGCTAGCCATATATGTATCTCAACTTGAAACTGATAAAATTGTTAGAATATAATTAATAATAATCTGTGAAAGGAAGCCAAAGTAAGTATTTTGTGATACGCTCCCCCTCCTTCTCCTGTTCCAACAAAATTAAAGAGCTTCTCTGAGAACCTTTGAGATAATCCTTGATTGTTCCTTGTGAAATATTAGAGAACTTGGAAACTGTTGCTGAAGTTGCATTTCAAAAATATTTGTGTCAGCTCCAGTTTAGGACATTAAGCTCTGGCTAAACATGCAACTACACTATAGTCATAAACTCATCCTTCTAACAGCATAAGCACAATGGATGTGCTGTGTTCAAGCTGCCATACAGACCATTAACTGATTGATTATTTAGCACTCTTTGCTCTGTAATACGGCAATAACACAGTAATAAATGCTTTGTCATACATTTACAATACAGAGTACATCTATTGAAACACAGCGCTCACACACAGTTAAATACACTGGGTGCTTCTGTTACACTGCAAACTATTTCCTGTTTTTAATTCCATGAGAATGGAGTGTGATGAGTTAATGCAAAAAGAATGTAAGCAATACCACTAAGATGACCAGTTACATTATGTATACACTAACCAGACAGAATGTATATGTACTAATAATTTACATCACTGGAAAGCTATCTTCTAATTCTGATAACATAAATATCACTGAACTGGCTGGATCAAGGCTGTCATCTTAGTTTTGTTATATGATCCTTGAACAGCAGGCTTGCTGGGTATTCCAACATATACCAGTTACATTTGCATGTCGTTAGCACTCTACACCTTATTTATAGTTTACAATTTAATCATGATTGGTTCACTTTATTACAGAAAAAATCATGTTAAAATATCAAGTATCAAGTGATAGAAAGCATCACGTTATAAAAAAACCAGCGGTGTTCAACTTGTGCTCTTCCCTATTTTGGCAAATACTTAGATCTGAATTTTAATACACTGGATGAGCAAGAAGAGCTTGTTTTCTATTTCTCCATTTCAGTCTGTGTTCTGTGCTATTTTATTTGGATGGCAATACTGTCATAAGGCTAAGTATTCACAACCTTGAATTTAAAGTTGTAATGCCAATTACCCACCATTTAATTTTCCATAAACTGGTGATTAGGAGCTACGACTTCCTATGTAGCACTAGGGGGCGTTCTGGCTGCCAGTGCCGGAATTCTTCTGTCCTTGCCCCCAAAAGCAGCAACTAGATACACGTACGTATAAAGCTCCCAACCACTCAGAAATATGAGATTTGGTTACTACGCCTAGACATTATCATTTCAAGATGAAGGCAGAATCAGTTTGAAATGCTGCTCCTCCAAATTTTGGCCCTTCCTAATTTTTAGTCCATTATTTGCCAATTTAGCATTAGACAATTACAAAGAGTAACACAGGTTAGCGAGAAATTAATTTGTGATAAATATTAAATCAGAATCTCTCCTCCATCTTTTGATATCATACTGATCACAGTTCCCAACCCTTATCTTGTAAAAGATAACATAAACCCACATGAGTATAAACTAAAAGATCTATTTCAGTATATCCTGCCTTTCAAATCTTTCAGCAGTTAGCTCATTGATTTGGTTTAAAATATGTTAATCAGGATTTTTACTTCTTCAGAACTGCACTGAAAAAAAAAAAAAAAAGACTTTTCATGCTGACCTTTACTGCTTTGAGCTCTGTTCTTAGCTTTGTGTGCCTGAATTAACTCCTGTTAACACTAATGGGAGATGCAACAGAAGAGACACTACAGAGGGTGAGACACATCTCTCCCTATACGTTCACCATGAGCATTTAATTGACTCTTAAAGTGGGAAAGCAAATCAGCTAAGAACATGGCAACACTGGAAAAGATGCATTTTAAAATAAGCTTACTGCAACAATGGATATTGACCACAGACTAACCAGGGCTCTGTGCCCTCATTTGTGAATTCAACATAAGCCAGGGTCATTTAAATCACAAAGCCACATTTTTCAGAACATATACCAGTATAGCAGGAGCACAGAAACAAAAAAAAGAAAGTGGCAATGTAAGTTTGCAAACAATTATGCTGGTCTTCCAAGAAGTGTTAATTTCAAATTTAAAAACCTCTCTCATGCCCACCAGCACAAATTTCCCCAAACTGTGTAAGGGCAAATACACACGAATAAAAGATAATTGTAAATGTAACTTCAGATTTTATATATCTTAAGTGAATAATGCTTCATAATATGATTCATAGTGCCTCACAAACAGAGGTGTAGAATGAAAAAAAGTTGCAAAAACCTCTGCAAAACAGGAGCCCCTTCTTTCTTACTTCAGTCCCTCTTCCAGTTTGAGAAGACCCTGACAAATTTCATTTTATTGCCTCTGAAGAATGGTATAAAACAAAACCGGGGGCCTGCGTAAAGGAATTTTTTATTTATATGATAATGAAATATTGTGGAGCTTCTTAAACACAGGTAATACCTGAAAACAGATGGATTTAGCATCAAGAACTTATGTGGTCATTAGAGTTCAAATTCAAAAGGTATTGATTTTCTGGCATTACTCTGTCACAATTACACTCTATTCTCATATGCTATGAAATGTCATGTGCCTTAAAAATACTATGATGGCATAATGGCTAAACTGAAGTCTGTCATATTTTAAAGTTTCTGCCACTTAGGCCACAAATACAAATAAGACATGATCAAAAAAAAGGTAAGCGTGTGGCAGAGGGCAGAAAGCAGTTTGCATTTACCTACCCACTGCTTTTAAGATTACCAGGGACAAGAAATGGGTGAGCAAGATTTTGGAAAGGTTTTTTCTTCCAAAAATACTTCTTTTATTCTAGGACAGCTATCTGGATGAACTACTATCCAACAGTTTCCAATACTCTTCCAAAAAGAATTCCTCATGGCTTTCTTCTGCCATCTCTGTTTTTCCAGTAACAGTATTAGGAACAATATATATTTCTGTCCAAAATACTGATAAAAACACTTCAGAGTTTGACAGATCAAAAGGCAATGCTGCCAGTCTCTTTGACAGTAGTCTCAGACTGCTTATTTCACTGAAAAACGCTGGCATCTGACAACACATCCTTGAAGAAAGAAAGGTGAACAGTTCAGGTAAAAAAACCTGACAAATATATCACTCAAACATGCAACACAAATATTACTGTTTAAAACTTAAGAATGCCCATGGATTCTTCAAGGGGAAAAAATTATAATACTATTCTAAAAACCACAATAGACATTGGGAGAAAAAAATATGAAAAAAATATGAAAATGCACTACCTAAAACATTAGAATAAATGTGATTGTGCCTAATTTTCATTAGTCTTCCATTTCAACACTGGTGGCTTCTAAGTTAGCAAAACCTACTATGGTAGTGATTTAGAGATAGTAATTATATTATTTGCCTACACATCACTTGTGGAATGAAGGAATATATATGTATGCTTTCCTTTCACAACCCTGGTCCACTGCCTAGTATATTAAGCAGCTGGCCATTCTGACTCATATTCTTCAAATCATTAATAAGATTCTTCAAAAGTTAATAGCACCAGATTTGAAGACTACTTAACAATATTTGAAAAATACAAATTGTACCCCTTTTATTAATGATGCGCTCAATATTTACCAAACTGAAGGTTTAAAGATGGAGATACAGCTGAAGTTCAAAATTAATGCTACCAGAATGAATGTTTCCCGCAAGTGACTCTTGGTGTTGAGTCTCAATGCCCACACAAGACAAACTCTGTTAAGGAACACTGGTATTTGTTAGTTCTGATGATGTCCTAAACTGCAAAAAATGCCTTACTTGCACTTTATCCCACAGGCCAGAAAAGTTAGGAAATAAGGGAAAAATAATTACAGTGTATTTATTTGAACTCAAACTCTAATTTAGCCCAAGCTATTCAGTATTATCTTTTACTGCTCCTTAGTTAGTCTAAAATCAAGATATTTACACTGATACAGCACAAAACATGACACTTCTTGAAACAGTGATTGTGGAAAAGATAATGGGTAGATAGTCATAGCAAGAAAGACCAAGTAAGCCATAACTGAAACTCTTCAATGCTTTGGTATTTTTTAAGTAATTAGGTCACTACCAATTAATGTAAAGCTACCCAGCAGCAACAGTCTGCATCAAGAGCGACGGAATAAGAACTCAAGTCTGCCAGTTAGCTGAAGCAGAGATGTGGTAAGGCAAGAAAAGAGTAGGAAAAAAAAAGAAACCTTTTTTGTACTTAGCCTGAGCTCACAGACAATTTACAGAATATTTTCTGTGAAGTTCAGGTTTAGTAAAATTAGGCAATAAATTAAATTTAAGAATTTATGCCCTGTTTGTGTGGACAATCATAAAATATTCTTGAGTCAAATCAGATACTTATTATGTGATGCCCATCAGAAATAGTCATGTTAACTCAGCCCTAAAGTCAAACCAATTACTAGTATTAAATAGTGAACTATGTAAGATCAGATGAGAAAGTTATTGCTTGGAATGAATCTGATATCTGGGGGTAACTGCTCTGGTATTTTCAAATACATTACACAAATACTAGTCAGATTGATAGGGCTGTTCTCACAGCAGTTAAAACTTTTGAAAACTGTAGATGCTAAGGTTTTGATTTCTTAAAAGTATGACCAATTGGAACTTCAGGAAGATACGTTAGTGAAAAAAACCAATGCTGTTGGCAACTTTATAATTGGATTGACCCCATGCTCCATTATGACAACACATTCTTATAATTACAGTAATGTCTAAATGAGTACTAAATATTAAGGCTGTAATGAGTCATGTTGTTTTACACATGTTTTTAGCACAGCACAATGCTAACAGCATCTGATGACTTGGCTCTTGTTTCCTTTCCAAGAAAAGCAACCCAAAACTCCTCACAGCAACCTGTTCCTGCTTTCCTGTATGGGTCAGGAAATCAGGCCTCTGTTTCCTCTCCACATGTTGCAACAGGAAGAGCACTGCAGAGCTACTTCCTAAAGGAACTCTTCTTGCCCACCCTTTCCTTGACAGCCCTGAAAGAATTATGTGTATTATGTACGATGGGGGAAGGAGAGCCAGACTGCATGTCAGTGCAGGTCACAGTTACAATGCAGCAGATCTCAAAAAGGTGTAAGGTCTGATAAGGAGCAGTCTTCTCTACTTGCTGTGTCAAATCACCAATAGTTTATCTAAAGGTCTGTGCCCTTGAAACACAAATATATCTTGTTTTTAAGCATAACTGGAAATACCTTTCTGTCAAGAAAAGTTGTCTGGCCATATGACTTTACATGGTGTATGCAGTTATTTTTCCAGTCCCAGAGATAATTAGCACAAGGGCAGTTTGCCAAGCTAAAGCTGAGAGAATATCCTTCACAGCCTTTCTGGGCATTTGTGTCCTTTTCCAATTTTTATGCTGCTGTCACTGGACTCTGGCATTTCTTACCCAATTCATTTGCTTTCTGTGGTAATCATATGCAATGAAGATATGCATGGCCAACATTTAAACAGGCTGCAGATCAATTAGTGGTCTTAAGTTTATCTGATTTTTATCAAAGAAGACAGAGCTTTGGGTCGATTGTCAGAGCCTGTGTCAAGTTGACCTTTTCAGAGATGTCTACATTGCCAGTCCCTTGGGCAACTTGTTGTCCCCTGTTAGTCTCTGAATGGCAGAAGTCTGTTCTGCTCAAGCACAAAGTATACACAGATGTCTATATTACATTCTTATAGGTTTGACAGCAACTGCATGTTGTATCTATAAACTGTCCTTTAGCAGTGACACTTCCTCAATGATGATAAGCTAATTTATGCAACTAAATCTCCTTTGTGCAGAAATGAAAGCTAATTGAGTCATTACAAAGTAATTCAGGAAGGAATACCTTGTATAAATTGGCTTACTTTATAAATCCTTCTCGAGTGGTTTTCATGCATCCTAAGTGGTGCTAAGCAGTTTTGCTGCCATCACATACTCGGGTAAAAAGGCAGCTTTATAGAGCTATAAAAACATTATTTTAAAACAGCAAATGGAAGAGACAAGAAAATAAAGGTAAAAAGAAAGAGCATATGCAAAATAAAGAAGAAAGGTTTTTAATACCTGAATCAGTGTTAACATCCTCCTGGCTCTCTTTTCTTGGCACTTCAACATTTGAAGGAACCCGTTCTTCTGCAAAACACATAACTGCAGATGAAACTCTGAAGGGACACCTCAGCTGACAGGAATTACAGCCCCCATCAGTCCAAAAGCCACACTCTACATTTCCAGATTGTAAACCCTGTTTACTATTTTACATTTATACAGAAGTTGGAACATTGTTATTTCTGTGGTTTCCCCCACCCATCCAAACACTCCAGGAGCTTTCTTTCAAAATCTCAATTGCAAACATCTGTTTCCCTTTACACTCTGCTCTGAAGGCAATCACATAGAGAGCTGCAGTTCTGCTGTTCTTCAGTCATTCTGAGACAATTAGAATGAGGGTCATCTTCTGCTACGTGCACTTCTTGACAGGATAAAGAAAATGAAACCAAGGATTGAAAAAGTATCCCCAGCCCATGAAAGAACTCAGTTCTTAAGAGCAGTATGCAGAGAAGGCAGAAGACATCTCACCTTCAGCCCTGTCCTACAGACACACTAGCTTGACACCTGCATGATGGGAACACAGCCACTATAGATGCCATGCCTTCGCTGCTCCTGCCCACTGTGCCTGAACATAGTTTTCAGCAAGCCAGACCATATAAAAAAAATTAGTGCAAGTTTAGGGACAAGAAAAGAGAAAGCCTGGCAGCGATTGGCTCTGAGGCATGTTTTCTGGCTAGCAGGCTTGGAACACGCTGAAATCCCCACAGGCAATTTCAAAAGATGTGCTCCATACTTCCTGTCCAGCACAGACAGGGAACTCGCTCATGCCCAGACCCTCATTTAAGTAAATCCACACTCCACTCAGTACGGGGAAGTCAGATCTGCTTCTCACATGTCACAGTCAACAATTCTGTTGATGAGGCAAAAAAGGGAAAAAACTATGAGGTTTTTAGCTGTATTCTGTCTTTAGGTTCATAAGGAAGTAGAAACAAATTTTTCTTTGTATTTACAGTATATCAAAACTGACAAGGCTGTTGTACGAATAAGGAAATAGTATATTGATAAACCCACTTCTCAAACAAGAACTGGACTTTTAATACTTTTAAATTATTTGCCTTTGCTAGTCATCACATCTTATGCAGATAGTTATGCTTTTTTTTAAGCACACATTTCAGCAACTAATTTTGATATTTTACTAATGACAGACAACAAAGAACTCACAGCTTTTAAAATGATCCTTATTGTGCAACTTTTATGTAATTGCCCATTTACTTTGACAAAGAGTGAATTTTATATGAAAAGTTCAAAGGATTTTTAGCCTTGTAAAAATTTAATCTATCCACAAGACTGTTCTTGCAAACATTAAAGCAGATGTTTAAAGCACGAGAGTAGACCTGTTGGGAATGAGTATGCATAATTGCTGCTAACCTCTATACACAGTCCTACAA